TTTACTTCGATTCTATTCACGTTATCTTGCTCTAAAGTATTAAACAGGTATGTTAACTGTGCCGGATAGGGATCGATTTTATCTTCAATGTTTATAACGCATGCTTTGACCTTTGATAATGAATCAAGAATAAGACGTTAAAAACGTTAAAATTTTGATTGATAATTTAATAATTACTTGGTGCATTGGATCTCCGGTAAAAACAATGACTGTATTATAAGGTCTTTGTATTTTGTCACAAGCCCTATGTTAATTGAAATAAATCATATTAATTTTGATCTATTGTTTTCATATTGATATGAAAAATCAGAAACGTACCATTGCTCGACTATATATAGTTGATAACCTTCTAAAGTTACTTCTTCGTTGACTTGAACGCCATCACCACAGCTGCTTGCCAGATCTAAAATACTTCTCTGCTTGGAAAATACAAATTTGCCGTATCTATTGAAGACCATTTTACAAAGATTCAAACGAAGCAGTGTTTGAAATTTGATGCGCAGAGTGCGCGTACACGATAAATTTTAAACCTTTTGTTATGTAACACAATTTGTATCATTTCACACACGCAGATCATTTTTGTATGTGTAACTATAACTTTAAAGCAGAAACAAAAAAAGAAATAATAAATGATATTTTCTGTTCTAGGATATTATATAAATTTAAATTATCTAATTTGTCATGAATACTCTTCATTTTTATAATATTCCTTACGAAAATATTATTTTTTGATATCCGATAATGTTACATATATAAATTAGCTTATTCATATTTATTTTTCTTTATTAAAAATGAAGTATAATTGCTGTCAAAAATTTGAGTTAATTTAGTTAATTTAAAAAAAAATTTAAAGCAATATATCAAAAAGAAAATTCGTTAGAAAGAGCATTTATTACAAATAATATTAAAAAAATTACTTTAGTACTATTACTAATAAAACATGATAAAATAATATTTTGTATTAGAATATTATATTTTTATCACATAAAATTACATTTAATAAGATAGATTTTAATTAAATCACATTAAATTTATAAATTATTAATATTAACTACTAATTAAATTTTAATTAAGTTAGTTAATGATTTAAAAATTTTTAAAATATGAAAAAAAAAAAAAGTTATTTATTTATAGATAATAATCCTTTAGGCTTTTTTTATGCTACTTTTAAACATTCATGTCAAGATAAAGTTTTCCTAGTTAATAAGAAGTTATCAATTTGGGTTGGTCAGGCTCTTAGTAGTTGTATGTTTATTTCAAATGTGATTTTGGAAAAAAAAGCTATTTTTTTTGCAAATAATTTGGGTGTGTCTAAAAATACTTTAACTATTAAATGATTAGATTACATGATTTAAGAAAAGAAATAGCCTTCAACGTTATAAATTACATAGAGAATCAGCAAGTATTCTATTGAAAACATTATCTCAAGAATGAGAAAAACTTTGATGAATTTTACAATGATATAGCTTAGATGATATTTATAATGCTAATAAAACTGGTTTTTTTTTTA